AAGGGGAGGTGACGAAGTAGACTTCCTGGCATGCGCCGTACCAGTTTCCCATCAAAACGAATTGCAGATAGTTTGGTTGTCTCATGTGCTACGCTTAGTAAATTTTTTTCATTTTAACAAAGTTTTTAGCGAAATCCGTCCAAATTTATACCCAACATTTCTCATTTAGGCACTTTTGCAGCCTCAGTACATAGTGTGAGTGGTTTTTTCTTACTCAGATGGATATTATTTTTTGTTGTGCTTTTCCCACTTGCTGCTGTGATTTGCACGGTTGTGTATTTTTTTTGGTTGCAGGCTGAAGGAACCGCTTTTTCCGGATTCGAGCATCGCTGAATTGTTGTGCTCTGATGATGAGCTGGATAAGTTGGCTGGCGAGTTTCGATGCGATATCATTGCCTTCGGAAAGCATGCTGATTTTATTAAAGCTAAAGTCAAGGTCACAGTTAATCATTTGTTTTTTGCCTAATCTTCAGTTTTTTAAGACAAGTTTTTTGATTATTAAAAGACATGACTTGTTTCTCCTTATTCACTGTGAAAGTGGGCACAGAGTTGATCAGAGTGACAACTCATCGGCTATTTCTCCATTCGAATGATAAGTAACAGCCATTAGAAGGCCGAATCATAAGTGGACGGTCCAAATGGAGCGGCCGAAGTGGGTTAAACTGATAATTTGCGGCTCTTGGTAGGCCGGGCCGTAATTTCTGAACTAAACGGCCAGTCCGGACAGTGGAAAATATGGAACGGCCGTGTTCCGTAAATTTTGATGTTGAGTGATTAGGGGAAAGACAACAGAGCTATTAATGTGACACAAACCACATGAAATGTTGAAAAGTCATGTAAAGAGGAGTATGTAGAAGTTAGCCTGCCAGTGTTTCATCCCTTAGCTATAAACACAGAGCAGATTTGAATATGTTTTTTTACCCTATTAGCTGCTAGCTTCCGCTTTTAATCGAAAACCAGTTAAGTGGGATACTTGATTTTCCTACCAGAAACAGCGGCTGCATATTGAGAGTAGATACCTCATGTGCACCATACCTAATTTGTTTCGTTCCTCGATTGACGTAATAACTTCAATTATCACTTAGAAGAAATTTTTAATTATTACTTAGAAGAAATTTTTAATTATTACTTAATTCTTAATTATTACTTAATTTTTAATTATTGCTTGATTTTTAATTATTACTTAATCTTAATTATTACTTAATTTTTTATTATTACTTTAATTACTACTTTTTTGAAATTATTTCAGCCAGCTGACATTCTGCTTCTGAGAAATGTCCAGTGTTATGCACCACGTTCCTATGAGGCCTGTCTTACCATGCATCAGCAGGGCGAGCGTTACGGCCGGAGCATTACCGTCCTCAGCGATTGCTCGGATTTCAAAAAGGCTCTTTTGGGGTTATTTTTTACTTTCGAACAAGTGCAATTGTTGTTTGATGACGAAAAGTACAGTTTCTGTCTTGCTTCTACTTCTAAGCAGTCATTCAGGAGCAAACCTGTAAAAGGCTTTAAATCGATATTCCGAGGGCTTTCAGCGATGGATTTTGGGTGAATTTTTAAGGGGACGGTGGGTTTTTTTTGGATTTTCTTAAATATCTTTATCAGTTGATAAGAGCGCCCTTAATTTATGGAAAGGCTTATGTAAAAAAAGAAAAAAAATTGGACAAAAAAGAGGTTATATTAAAAAGGGCATGTAAGTGGAATTTTTATATTATTTTTGAGTAGTAGATAATGATGCAAAAGTTTATTATGCTTAGCTCTGTCACTGCACCAGAAATTCTCCGTGACCCATTTGATGGCACAACAAAATACTCATTTTTCCACATAATTTGCATACATTTCACTTAGTAAGAATCATTTCTTTTTTGATTTTTTTAAACTGATTTTGCTCTTACTAACGATTTTTTTGATTATAATTATGCATTTTTTTTTAGTGACATTGCTCAATTCAAAAGAAATCTCACATCGGGTGCGCCCAGTGGCTCCGGAATCGAATCTCGAACATCTGCTACTGCTCAGCAAACAACAGCTGAATCTGAGCGGGTCGTAACTGCACAAACTGCAACTGAATCTGAAGCAGAAACATCTTCAACAGCGAATCTTGCCACAGCTGAACGTGAAACAACTTCTGGTACTGCACCAACCGTAACCGAATCTGAAGAACAAGCACGGCGAAATGCTGCTGCTCAACCGGGAACATCTGCAGCAACACGTTTTGCGCCAGAATGTGGACCTTGTACAAGCGCACAAGCTGCAGCTGGATGCAGATACCTGCATACGCGTGAAGCAATCGATGAAGGCATTTGTGGAGAGGTAAGCTTAATTTTGAATACTTACAACTGGTTCGTGCCTGAAATAGGAACACGTATCAGTTTAAATTTTACCACTTTCTCCTTATTACTTAATTGGCGGCGGATGGTAGGCTGTACGGATGACTCCCACTCGCGTCCAATCTGTGTTTACAGCTAAGGAATGAAACAAAAACTGACCTGCTTTTTCCTTAGTCATTATTACATGAAGTGGGACTGATATCTCTGTCCCGCACACTAGTTTTACTTGAACAGGTCTTTTTTTTAATCTGCTACAGCACACAAATCAGTAGACCAGATTATCTCGTTTTGCTTCACGCTTTCTTTTTTTAGATTTTTTTTCCTTCTTTTTTTTTTTTTTTTTCACACTTCGCATTTTATTCAATCGCCAAGCAGGATACATATATACTAGCATACATACATGTCATGAGCTTGATGTGTCATGCGCCTTTTGCAGCTCATTTTCGGCAGAGTGTTCCCCTCTACAGGCAATGAATCGTAGAGGTGTTGTAATAATTAAGTTTGAAAAATATCTTATAAGATTGTTGGAAAATTACATCTTCTAACGCACAGATGAGTTTGCAGTCCGCGTGTTTCATCCCTTAGCTGTAAACACAGACAGAGCATCTGATGCGAGTGGAAGTGGGGGTCGTCAGTACAGCCTCCTAACCGCCATTTATGAGGACAGACTAAATAAAGCATGACAAGTGTAATAGAATGGAATAGAATAGAAAAGAGTAGAATAAAATAGAATTATGGGAGGAGGGGATATGGGAAAAAGCAAGATGGAATAATGGTATGAACTACTGCCCGAGATACGAACCTAAATCCTCTAACTCTTATCAATTGTGCTGCTTCAGAGGGTTTCCAGTTAAGCTAACTCTTACGAAAGAGGCGCCTGACAGCTTTTGTACTTCTTGCAGTTCTGCGGAGTTCCAGGCTTCACCTGAATCGTCCATTTTCCGTTATGTTTGTTTAACATCTCCAGATTTTTACGACTTCATAAGAAGTTTTTGACCTTCCCGTTTTACACTGGCACTCATGGTACTGAGATTTTCATTACCATTCCTCGTCTAGCACAACGCAGGCATTCCTAATTGGAATGATTCGAGTGGACAGAGCATCTGATGCGAGTGTTTCATCCCTTAGCTGTAAACACAGACAGAACATCTGATGCGAGTGGAAGTGGGGATCGTCAGAACAGCCTCCTAACCGCCATGTATGAGGGCAAACTAAATAAAGCATCTTGTTGGGCATCCATGGCCTTTTCTACCCTTCCTATTCCCTACTTCTATTCCTATCGCATCGGAAAGTCCATTTCCTTCAGTTCATATCTTTACATATATTTTCTTTTGCAGCTGTCAAATAACGAGAAACGATGGGCAAATGTACGGCGGCGTAAGTTACATGCAATCCATCTTGGCTGGATAATGAAGTATTTATCGAAAAGTTGGAATTTTGAGACAAATCAGCAGGCGCCATCCTCATTGGGAATGTATTCGGTGCTTGCAACACGAGGAGTGCAATATTTGGTGAACGATTTACTGACCAATGTCCGAAACGGAGGTAACAGCAGTTTTCCCTTTTTCGCATAATTTTTATTTTTGCGAAACTTTTGGCTTTCCATTGAGATTTACGAGTGCTAAATTGCTCGATGAAGTTATAGGGACATCTTGAATTTGGACTTAAAATTTGCTGAAGTCATGAGAATATCTTAAATTTGGGCTTAAAAAAATTATTGGTCAGTGACTGGGTTAATTCTCGAACTATTTATCTACATATGTGTGTACGTATGTGTGTGTTTGTGCGTACGTATGTGTATGTTTGTGTGTATGTATGTGTGTTTGTGTGTATGTATGTGTGTTTGAGTGTATATGCGTGTGTTTGTACGTGTGTGTGTATGTATGTATGTGTGTGTACGTATGTATGTATGTATGTGTGTGTGTGTGCGTGTGTGTGTGTGTGTGTGTGTGCGCAGGGGATTCTAAGTTTGAAACTTGTCCGTTTTTGAGTTATAAGATTATCGGAATCTTGCTCCTCAGGTCGGAAATGTGTTAACTTATTCCTTAATTAACGGTACTTTTCATGTAGTAGTATTTATACCTTCGTCGCCTGTGGTCGATGTCGACGAGTGGCAATACAAAATGAACATTTGAGGTATGTATAACTGTTGTTTTGCTTTAAGGGCTAGTGGATCGGTTGATGAAATTGCCTGAAACAGAGCGCGAAAATGTACTGGCGCGTTTCATAACACTCTATCTGAAAGCGGCTTACACTGGCATCGTCACACAATCATCGGTAAGTAGAAGGAGCTTAATTAGGTCTGCATACAGACGGATTTAGGGCGGTCTCTTGAAGAAAGGGGGTTTCCCCTTCTCTTTTCGCCATTGCTCCCCCTCCCTCCCCCCGCCAACCAACTCACAACCCATTTCTGGATCGACCCGCTACCACCTCCCCTACACCCTTTCCTCCCTCCCCTCCCCCCCCCCCCCCCCCCCCCCC